TTAATCAATTTTACATTTTGCAATATTTCAGGCATTTTCTTTTATACATAAAACATTTACGGTACTTTTAAATAAGAATTAATAAAATGTGCTAAAAAATAGATTTTACTATTGTGCTGCAGTTCCAAAATATTTTGCAATTTACAAGTTAGTAAAGAGTTGCAGAAACAATTAAAAAAAGAAAAAATATGGTTATTCAACATCAACTTCACTCATTTTTCAAGGATTAAATGCTATGAATTTAATAGGTTTATCTATGCATTTTTATGCTAACTCAGTATGCATTTTTTGTGCTTGTTAAGTTTACATGCATAGACTATATTTTAATTTTAACCACTATCTTTAATGTCTTAATACTCCCATTCACAAAAAAATCTTATTTTATCAAAGTACACCTCAAAAATAGTTTGAAAATTGCATTGAATTTCTAGTAATTTGTAATCTGAAAGTCTTAACTACTATACATTTTTATGAAGTCCCTTTTCCCTAAGGATTGTTATTTCCGAATTGCTTGCAAACATACATTTCCAACTTTAGTTTCTGATCACATTCACGCTACATTTGTATGAGTTAATTGGAATATATTTTAATACATCATGGTGTAAGAAAGCTCTTTAATCATGATTGCCATTCCACAAAAGAAGACTGTATGAAATGGATGAATTCATGCCACAATGTGTCTTGGCTATAGTGTAGGATAAGTGAATTTGTGAGAATGTAAATGAAATGGGCATTTTGGTCACTCCTAAAATAATGGTGTCAAGGGACAACAAGAACATTATTATATACAACATGATTCAATTATCTTAAACTAATAAGAAAAAGGATCAATTTTTGCTATTATTTATAGTTAATAATTTATAATTACTTGAAGTTCATTAGTTTTGTTAATAAGCATGTGTAGTTTTTTAGTCAACTTGGGCGTTAACTTGGGCAGTGGCGTGAAAAAAACAAACGAAATTTACATGATTGGATAAATGTGAAAAAATTAGACATTGTAAGAGACCATCCAGCTCACAACTCCAACTTGTGTTGCCAAGACAAACATATTATTGTTGTTAATTATGCTGTGGTGGAAGGAGGAAAATCTACCTACTGTAAAGTCCAAAGATATAAAGACTAAATGTATTCTGAGTTATTGTGGCCAAAACTAAGATCTTTTTATAACTGAAAATATTAAATAATTTGTGGAATTACTTGAAAGAATCTCTGGCAGAAACAAGGTTTGTGATTTAAGCATACTTAGGGCTAATTAAATCCTTCAATCATTTTAATCAAATTTCTTCTGAAAATATTAACTGGTCTGAAAATGGTGTTAACCATTTAATTCTTGAAAATTGTAAACATTTTCCAATGATTATTCAATGACTTATATTTAAAAAATTAATAAGTTTCATCATATAGATCTTATGTGTGAGCGAAGTATAGTGAAGGACCTGATCACAACTGACTGTTATTAAGTTGTTAAATATGTTAGACACATAATTAGATTTTATATAGAATGGGCTCTAGAATTTTCTCTTTCTTGTGCTTTTATTATGATGCTGATTTGAAAGAACATGCATCATGTCTTTACAGTCATTCTTACTTTCTCTCTGGTATTGGTAAAACAAACATACAGATGTATTGTAAGTTAATGACAAATTACATGTTATTCCTATTCTCCAAAAATTTTGAGTTCAGTTGAGAAAGCAATACAATTAATACTCTTAATGTGCCTAACTTTTTATAATGTATAGTTGCATAACTTGTATGTTGAGAATTACTTTCTGAAAACATCAGCAGCAATTAAGTATCGAGGATGGGATAGGATTTTTAAAGTAAAACGTGTATAATATGAAGACAATCAGAATACTCAACTTGACCACAATATTTTTCATTCCAATTTCATAGCCCTCTGATCTGTAAAACAGTTTTTAATTAGTGTACTCAACTATAAAATGTGGTGTAGATGTGTTAATTGTCCATTTTAAAATGTGTCAATGGTCAGGCTTTGATATCAAATATTTGTTTTTACTTGATGTGTAAACTTTGTCATTCTGTGATATAACATAACTCTGACAAAAGTAGAAAAAATAGCCAGTAAACTATCCTTTTTATTTTATTAATATATATATATATATATAAATATATATATATATATATAATATATATATATTATATATATATATTTAATATATATATATATATATATATATAATTTAACTTATCTTTTCACTATGACTATTTTCATCTACAATCAAAATCCAGGATCATTCATTTGACAATATAATCTTAATGTTCTCATTTTAACTTTTATTTTAATTTTACTTTTCTCCTTCATACATCAGTATACCTTTTTTCTTTTCAAAAGTTGTTTTTTAATAATTGTGAATTTTTAATAAAGTTTACTATTATTATTGTTGTGTTCAAGAAAAAATTTAAAAAGGATACGCATTTAGTACTATTCTTATCAAAATTAACACAAACAGCTTTGCTTGCAGTTGTAAGATAGTGTCAGTCAAATACATAGATCAAGTTTCAGTTACTATCCTCCTTCATTTATAATAATTATTGCTCTGATACTTGTGATGAAAATGTTAATTTAAGGGCTGCCAAACTATTTGTTCAATATTACTTATTGGGGGCGGGAGGGGGGAGGGGGGGGGGGGGGGGCAAAACAGAAATTAAGTTGCTATGGAAAAGGAACTGGAGATGTATAAAATTAAATTTTTCGAGAAAGATTTTTTTTTTTTTTTTTTTTTACATTTTTTAAAATTTAAATCACAATGGAATTTAAATATAAAATTTTAAATAATAAAAATATATAAATTTATAGTTACTTTTAAGACTTTAATAGATGAATTTATAGAGATTTTAACTAACACCTAATCATGGAATATGTTTTGTGCACTACTGCCTTCTATTGTAATGTTGAACACAAAAACATAACCGATTTTTCTGCATTAATTTCTTAAACCGCATATTGAATTATTTGTTGGTATTATCTTTTCTAATAAAACTGTAGTGTAAAAATATTGAGTTTTTATGTTGCTCATAATATTCAATATAAGTTACACATTTTTCTCACTTACAAATTTTTCCTGTCTCCTGAAAAATGTATAAGTGAAGTTTTACTGTAATCTCATTATCAACTTTTTTCCCCCATTTTTGTGTGGTGATATTAATTTCCTTGTTCTGTGTTCATATTACTTTCCAAATTGATTTGAACAGATCAGCTTTTCTTTGTTCGAAGTGCATAAAGAGTTTTCATCTTACCATAATTCAGAATTCTGCCATGGAAAGTTACACATACTCTGAGAAAAAATGCCTTTGTTGATTGTTGAGTAGGGAGATAATGGAATATCATGAGTCAGTCATTCAAGAATATAAACAATTAAATATATGAATAGACATGGTTGCTGGAAAAATGATATGAGGATGTGTTTATCATCTCAGTATCATATAGTTGTGCATTGTCTCAGGTTGTAGGTGTCACGTAGCAATATCAAAATACATGAAATTTGTTAGCAGCAATGTTTCTTTAAAAATAATGTAATTAACTGATATTTTTTAATTTTCAGTTTGAAATATATAATAAAGCTGAAGAAATAGTATATTTCTACTTGGGATTATGCACTGGTCAAAAGTATTATATTTTTTCATCTATTTGGTCATGAGAAAAAAAGAGCATAATAGAACTGTTTGCTTTTTGATATGAAGCATAAGATAAAGTCTTGTTGTGCAAAAAGCTATCTCTGAGCCAGTCTGTGAAGAGGTGTTTGCCATTTTATAGTTTCAAAGGTAGAAAAAATTAAAAAAGATCCCCTTTTATTATGGGGGATATTATGGTAGTTGGGAAAGGTGAGGTTGGGAAAGTTGAGAGAGAGAGAGAGAGAGAGTGAGAAAGAAACAAAGAATAATGTTAAAGCAACATACTGCAATTATCACTAAGTGAGAAGAAAATGTAGTTCATATTATAAATTTGTAGAGTATTGAAAGTTGTAGAACATTAAAATCATGTGCACATCTAGTTTATGTGGAAAGTTTCTATTAAGATCTTTCTTTTCTGTGGCCCTAACATTGTGTTAGCCAGTGTTTCCAGCAGTTGCAATCTATTATATAGACTAAAACATTAATTGAAAAAATTTGAAGTGCTAAAACTCGTGCCTGACCATAGCTTTACTCAAGAGACCAACTATACTTTTCTGCAAATGAAAATAATATTGTTCTAAATCACACTTGAAATGTGCTTTGTTAATTTTATAATCACTCATATCTTAAGGGAATATTTTTACTGCAATGTATTAATATTTGCCAAATGTCTTTGAATACTTTTTGTTGATATTCATTCTTCATCGAATATTGAACAATTGTTAATGAATGTGAAAATGTCAACGAGATAAATGTGTTCATACCTACAAGTTTTCAGCCCAGATAATAAATGTGATGAAAGTTATGTAATGAAAATAATCAAATCCACTATTTGTGAAAATAAATATTCTCATTAATTTGAGATGACTGAGACTTACATCCTATATCTGGTTGAAAATTAAGATTAGTTTTTTGGGTCTTGGTTTGAATGAAAACTGTTCTTTTCAGTTACTCTTTTTGTTGTGTAAATTGCACTGAAATTTTGCTACGGTTACTTCGTTTACTGTAGAATAACCTAATCTCAGTGCTATCGTGCTAACTCATGTAGAGACAATCATAAAATGAATTAAATATTCAGTGTAATTTGTATTATTAAATGTTATTTTATCAGTGTTAGTGGTTTGACTTAATATGTGGACAGTAAAATCAGTGTTATTTTTTAATAATATCTTAATAAAAATGTACTGTGTGTATTGCTAGTATTCATCCCCAACAGATGCAAGTATTGAAAATAAAATATTTTTAGATCAGATGTGACAATATGTGGTGCCCCTTTTTGATTGCTGTAGTACACTTATCAATTTGAGCTGACAACTTTGCTTTAGTCATAATCTTATTACCTAGTGATTGTAATTACCTTCTCTCAGGCTGGGTTGGCCGGTGCTCCAGCACGTGCTGTGTCTGCAGTCAAGAGCATCAACATTCCTCAACAAATAAAGGATATAAAGTTACCTGATCTGCCTCAAGCCATTAAGGATTTGAAGTTCTGATTATAAGTTGTATTGAAATGGTCAAAGTATGACTAGAGAATACATTTATCTACTACTGGAACTAGATATGGAAGCATGTAGGGTTAGATGATTGTTGGTTTTAATAGATTGATTATTTGCATAGGCCATTTCACTACAATTGCATGGAGTTTTGTTAATATTATTTTTATAGATTGTGCAATATAAACATCTCTTTTGCTCATGCTTTGGGTATTGTGGGTTTGCTGAATTGGTATTTTGTTTTATAAAAAAGACTATCTCCCTAAAGACCTAGATGTGTTGAGTTGTGGATATAAAGATATGTAATTTTTGTGTGTAAAAGTTGGCTTGTAAGGGTGTTATCTGGCCAGCACTATGTGCTTAACACGTTCTGACTCTTTATCACAACAAAGAGACAGAAATTCAATAAGTAAGTCTGAGAAAAGGCAATCCCAAATGAATATCAGAATCATAGACTTCAAGAAAGGGTTCTTTTGGGGCAGTATTTATCTATACATTGAAAAATTATAGTTTTGAATCTGTTATTTCGTTCTTATCATATTGAACATTTTTGTATTTTCCTAAAGATTTTCTAAGGAAAGCAATAATTATTCTAAATATTGGTCTCTTTGAAAGTTTATTGTGAATTACGAAGAAGATATTTTAGAATTATTCTACATGCCTTGTTTCTATTGATTTCATTGTGATAATTTTTTAAAATATGGACATTTTCAGAGAACCCTTACTATTTAGAGAACTTAAGAGAAGTTAATATGACTGTTTCTATGGGACTTTCCCTTCTTTAAAGATTTACCTTGATAAAATAATTGCAAGTAAAGTGACTTTTGTATATCAGTTCTTTTGTCCAGAATGTTGTGTGTTTATGATTTTGAATTTTCTGTCAGCCATTTATCCAAATTCTTGCCAGATGTGAAATTAGGAGTCTTTGATAACTTCAGAGCATTACATAAGGCATCAAGGGTGCTGGCTTTCATGCCCTTAATCCTTTAAACAGTATACTTTTTTTATAATTGCACTTTCTAGTGGGATTGATTCCTTTTCTCAAGTAAAGCATTCCTAATGTTATTTTAAAAATAAGATTTAAAAAATATCATCCAGATGTAATATTTTTGTATTATCTGCTCACAATTGCTCAGGCTTTCACCATGTCAAATGCCTCTAGTAAAAAAAAAAAAAAAAAAAAAAAAAAAAAAAAAAAAAAAAAAAATGTATTTAAGACTTGCTGTTTTTCCACTTGGCAATGTGTATTTATCACTGCACTTCCTTTTATAATTGTTTTCATGGATCACAAAAAATTTTGTACAAAAAGGAGGAATAAACTTCAAAGTAAATGTAATTTGCTGAATGTAGTCATTAAAATCTCACATTACCTTTCACCTTTTATTCCTCTTCCAAAATGATGCAGTACATTTTCCCCTTTCTAGGTACCATCATTCATGTTGATTTGGATTAAACATTTATTGAATTATATTTTAATGAGCTTTGCAATATGCAATCAGTGAAGTGAATAATTAAATGGAGAAAATGGTTCTGAGAAATTACGAGTATTATAGAAGATTAATATCTGGTTACATCTGCAGATTGAAAAAAATGGAGCAACTTTTAAGAAAATTTTGTTTGGTGTTTCTGAAAGATGCACATTTTGATGCTCATTTTCACAGACAACTTTTGAGTTTTCAAGAATGTTATTAAATTATTTGAAGCAGCTGTACCAACAAATGGGACAATCATCTCCTACACAGTAACGGGGGTAACATTGCCATCACTTTGTTTCTTTTAAAGTTCTACTTCGTTACATCAGTCTTCACGATAATTGTTTTGACAATTTAATTCTTTACCAAAGTATAATGTTTTTTCAAAATATTGAAGTCACAGCTTTCATAATTTGAAACATTTTATTAGCTTTTTAAAAGCAAGCAAAATGGTAATGTTACTCTGCAAGGGTCAAACATTGCCACCTCTATTTATTTGTGGCAATATTTAAATGTTTGCGAGTTGGATAGGAAGCAGAAACACATAAATATGAATTAGAACCAATTTTATGATTACTTCTCTTTGGTTTTTGACCGTTTAAAAACATTAAACAGGAATAAATACTGCTTTGGGAACTTAGTGCAAAATAATTTTATTAACTGTTTTACGTTGTGATAGAATGTGATGGGGAAAAGTGATTTCTCCTTTTTATATTTAGTATGGGAAGCTCAGCAACAATAATGTATTTTGGCATAACACACTCATCCATGTCAAGTAAAGTGCTAATTCCATACAGCCAGTAGCTTTTTCCTACTTAATTTTCCATTACTTGGTGGATTTTAACTTCATCATAGGGTTTGTAAACCTCAAATATTGAATACTTTATTTGTGTATGTGGCATTCTCTAAAAACAAGGCAAAGTAAACAAATGATGATTACGAAATTTCACTGCGTCACAGTACTCCATACCTATTTACGGGCATTTCTGGTTACTACTGTAATCGAATGCAACCAGCGATTCTATATAATGTTTCTAAGAGAGGTAGCTGACTATTGGAACACAGTCAGCAAATAAATTTACGATACAGGCCGTGCTACTTGAATTTTTCGAAGTTGTGGCAATGTTACCCGTCGTTACCTTATTATTTCAGTAATGTAGACTAGTTTTGGGGCTCTCATACACAATCAATCTTTATAAATGGTGTTTCTAAAGAAGGAGAATTGCATGGAGATGTGACAAATTGCACTTAAACTTAAAAAATATGAAGGATTTATTTGGGGGAAAATCTAAATATTCATGTAAAGTGCAACCCGCAACACTCGGACAGTGTTGTTGAAATTTTATTTTTACAAAACAAGGTGTTACAAGGCCTCAAAACCTGGGATTTTGATGCCAAAAATCAAAATCGAGTGTTCATCACACCATAATCTACAGAAAGAAAGAAATTTGGACATTATTACATTTTTTGTTGGTTCGGCGCTTCTCAGTTGCATTGCAATTGCAATTTCTAGCATTGCTAAGAGGAAAGTTGTAGGTACTTACACGATTCTGTATTTTTGCATGGAGTACGTAGCTTCCTCGAGAGTATAATAATAATA